GGAACGGCCGTGATCCTTGTTGTTCTTTGTCACTTTGCTTCACATTTTTCTGATTTAAAGAATGGTTACAGAACGGATTGACCTCATTGACATTGAATCTTATGGGGAAATTTGACTTGGCTCACGACCAGTTTGGGCCATGACCAGAGTCCTGGAACAGATTAAGTTTGTGAGCCAGGGTACCACTGTATTTAAAAACAGATGTTTCAGCAAACTATATCTCATCTTGAACAAAGGCTGAGCAAATATCTAAGTAAACACCCATTTACAGATCAAGTCTATATTTAAACATGGTTTAAATTCAGTCCCTTACATTCAGCCTTCTACTTTTATATCAGTGTTTTAGCTGTCAGAAAGTCACAAAGAATCCATTTGTGCTGATCCCACATTAACTTTTGGGAAATAGACAGCAAAACTGCACATGCATTGATAAATATGTTGCAACACAAAGTTTATCTGATAATTTCCTCCCCAAAAAAAGGGGGAGAGGCATTGTCACTGGGTAAACAGTAAGATCATCAGCTAAGAAAATGATGTAGGATTCTAAATTATCATGCACAATCGTTCTGCCTGATAGAGTTAGACAGAGGTTCCAAACATGAATCAAATATGATCAGAGAAAGTGTCCATTCCTGCCTAGCACATCTCTCAGGTGAGAAGGAAGCTAAAATGCAACCATTAGTCATGACTCTGGTTCTTGGGACTGAATATAAAGTCTAACCCATTTCATAAATTCTGCAGGAAACCCAAATTGTTCAAAGCTGGAAAGATAAATTGCCAGTGGATTTTGTCAAAGGCCTTTTCAGCATCCAAAGAACGAAAACCTACCCGGTCGATTCTGTCCACGTCTGTTGTTCAAAGCTGCAATAATGGCTTGCAATCTATCAGCCACAGTTGCTTTTGATATTTTGATATCTACGCTAATTTATGAAAGAGGCCAGGAGTTAAGCATAGTCAATATGATCTTTGCCCGGATTTAGGAATCACGCCAATGCAAGCATTATTTAATGATGAAGAAAGCAGGCCTGATGTAAAAAGATGATTATAAAGATGAAGTTTTGGAAGTAACAGGGTGGGAAATGATTTATGCCACTCAAGTGGAAACTTGTCTAGACCAGATGGTTTGCCCGTGTCCCTTTCCCTAATGGCTTTCGTGATTTTGTTAGCTATAAAGGACCAGAGAGAAATGGCCACTGGGCAGAGCAGTGGAAGATCACTATAAGAAAAAAAGGGGGGGGGGGAAGAACCCCCACCAGATCCTCCAGTGTTGGCCTTCCGTACCGTACAAGCCAGAATAGAACATTTAAACATTTGAAGTTTTATCTGTAGGAGAGGCATATATTGTATCACTGTCCTCTTTGACAGCTGGAATAAAATGTTAATATCTTTGAAGATGAAGCTCCAGAGCCCAAATGGGGCATTCTCCATTTGCCCAGTAGCCCCACCAAATTAAGGCAAATTCTGTCTCCAGAGGAAGAATATTATTCAACCCATATTTAACACTCTGCAGTCCCTGAGGGAGGGTTGGGCAGCTGGCAGGCCGGGTCATGAATAGGGTTGGGACGAATCATTTCGGAATCCATCCTCCAGGATCTGCAGACTTCCTCTCATGCAAAACAAGCTGAGCCAAGAGGAATCCGCAAAGGCGCATGGCCCTTGGCTGCATAACTGGCAGCCTTCCTCGTGAGCAGTGCCGGATGCGAAAGAGGGAAGTCACAAGTGGACTGGAGTTCAGAAGCCACAACCAGGGCATCTGGCAAATCCAGCCCACACAGATTCCTTGCGCATGCCTAGCTATGATACATTTCAATTCCTTACTCAAGGATATCTGCTCCATTCTTTATAGCGTGGATCCTCACACTACGGCCCACGGGCCGGATCCGGCCCACCACGCCCATTTATCTGCCCGCCTCAGAGGTTTTGGACTCGCTGCGCCTGCCTCGCCCCGCCTGGTGGCTTGCTCACTCGCCGACGGTGTTGGACTCGCTCGGGCCTCTCCGAGCAAGCAGGCTGCCACCGCCACCACACGCGCGCCCATCGCCGCCACCGCCGCCTTTCAGCGGGCCCCTGCTGTACAGCACTGCCCCTCAGTGGCCTCTCCTTGTTTCACCCGCAGGCCGCAGTGCCTCGTTCTCACTGGCCCTCCCAGTTTCCGCCCAGCGCTGGTGGATTTTGTGGGCACCTTCACCAAGAACCTGAGCCTGATGATATGCGGGAACGTCTTTGTCGTGAGTACCTGTCCCTGCGCTCAGCTTTGAAGCTCGCAGGTCTCAAGTTGCACGTGCTGGTTTTTGATGAAATCTTTTCCACAGTGATTCGCAGGAGATGCTCATGGGTGGAGAACCTATTTTCCTTTGAGGACCTCTTCCTTTTGCAGACAATCTGCCAGAGGCCGCATACTAATGGTGGGTGGGGACCCACCACAGCAGGCGGAAGAACTGGGCAAACTGGACAGAAAACCACATGAAGCTAGTCCCAGTGGTGTAGAAGTACAGATATCCATCCCTACACTTCCCAGGTTGAGTCCTAAATTTAGCCCACTGCACACACACACGTGTGCACACATTTCACACATGTGAAATTTAGCACACGCCTTCTAGCAGTTCTTATCTGCAACAGAAGAAGGCCTTCTGTAAAACTAGCAGGTCCTCATGGCCTTCTCAAGACCACGGAACCCAAAATACATTCTGGTGCGACAGCATTGCTGCCGAAAAGCTTCCCCCAGCTACTGGGTGCGATGCAGCCAAGCTCCGGAAGAAAAGGGAAACCTGACGGGGGTCAGAGAATGCCAGCATTTCTGGCAGGATGCTAGACCCTGCCTTCCTCCCCTTGCCCCCCACCCCAAATTAGGCTACCAAGTCTGAACTCGTGGCTTGCTAAGGGCTTTTGAAATTGCCCAGCCGAACTGAAACACGGGTGAGGGTTGCATCCACCTGCATTTAGTTTAAAGCCGAAAGAGAATGCTTTTGATCTTCAGCTCTCAGTCAGCATTGCTCTGGCGCTAAATCAAACGGGGCAGTGTTACTCCAGTACCAAGTGGGTCTGAAGCAGAATCAATTCTATCTCTGTAAAAATAGGCGCACACAGAAATACACCAAGTTTTCCCATGTCAGAATATGGAGGTGTGCGGAGTGCTTGCAGATGGTTTTTTAAAATCACGTTGGGGTGTGTGTGTGTGTCCATCCAGACATGGTTGTCTTCCTTTTGTAGCCCTGCTGTGTTGTCCCACTGCTGCTCCCACCCTTTTTCTTACCAAGAGAAAAAGCTGTAAACTTGGTAAGGAGGCGAAGGTGGCTTTGGGGGGCTAGCATTAGCCACCCTCTGCCCGGAAGCCTTTCTGAGCATTCTGCAGGGTGGGCGGCGCAGCTGTGGCTGGCAAGCCTGGTGCGACGTAGGCCGAAAAGCATGCTTGTGCCACGATTTGGCCACTGCCTTCCGTCGTGTCTTCCCGCTTTACCGCAGGGGCCATGCAAGTGGGCGATGCCCGAGCTCAGACTTTCTTCCAGAGGCCACGCGAAGTGGCTGGCCACGAGGAAGGTCAAAGCTTTCTGCACCGATGTCTTAGCTGAGGACTTGAGAAGCGGTGTGCGGATCCTCATGCAGGTAAAACCGGGAGCGGGGTCTAGATATCCTGCAGGGAGGCAGGTAGCCCAGGCCTTGATTGCTCCACGGAGAGAAGTCAGAGCTCCAGCTGCGGCTACAATCACAACTGTATCTTCGAAACCTTCATCTGCTTTCCCAAACAGGCCGCAGGCCTGGGGAGGATGAAACCCAACGTCCTTGTGATTGGATTTAAGAAGAACTGGCAGACGGCCCATCCGCGGACAGTGGAGGAACATGTCGGAATCCTGCAGTGAGTTTGGCAGCTGAAAAGGCCGGGTCTTGTGGATGCCCGGGGCCCCAGAGTGGCACCAGAATGCCGAGGGACTCTCTTCTTCCTGCCCAAGCGTCTCCCTGCCCTCAGGTTTATTTCTTGAGATTTTAAGAACCGCATTATTCGATTGGGAGAGCAGCATGCTGCAAAATAAAGCAGTCCTTCTGCTCCATCTTTATTTGAGTTTGAAAGAGCAGTTCTGTGTTTTGGAGCTCAGACCCAGCCTCTCCTTTGGCCTGAGTTCTTGGGCAAGGGACTTCTCCCTTAGTCTCACCAGTTCAGGCTGGGGAGAAAGAGAGTCTTGAGACCAGGTGGACACCAAACAGTCTGCTTATTCTCGGGCCGGTGCCAGCCCCTGGTGTTTGAAGGCTCCCCGGGCTTCCTCCCTCAGCTGGTCCACCACCTCACCACCATGGTCACGGGCTGCTCTCGCTCCTGCTGCTCCTCCTCCTTGGCACCCCTTGTGTGCTTGGCGGGGAGGAAACCAGGGAGCAGGTAGTCCATGGCATGGCCTGCCCTACTTCTCCTTCTCACCACAAGCATGGTCTGGGGCACAGAAGGCGGCAGGTGCAACTGCAAGCGCATGACCAGGGGGCTCTCTGCTTCCATCCCAAAGAAGAGGAGCACTGATCCCAGTGCAGGGACAACTTGGTGGAGGAGCCATCAGAAGTGGTGGTTTCTCAGTGGGTCCAGAGCTTTGGACGTTGGTGGACAGCACTCCCGTACTGGCTGGTTCTCAGACCCATAAGCTTTCCCATGAGGTCCACCAATCTGATCCGTGGGTGAACTTGCAACCTTCACGATATGTTGGCCAGCATCTCCCTTCACCCCTCTTCATTGGCTATGTTGGTGGGCAGTCAACAGTACATGTAGGGCTATAAGTTGCTCCCTCTTGACCTGAACTTTCCAATCTTGCATTGGCTTTTGATCTTTGGTTTTGTGTTGTCTCTCCAATCCAGCGATGCTTTTGACTTCAGGTATGGCGTGTGCATGATGCGCATGAAGGATGGGCTGAACATTTCCCGGTTAATGCAAGCTCACGGTGAGTTCCCTACCTCACCTTCTTCCGGGGTGGGGGCTTCCTGGATTCTGGTTGGTCCATGGCCACTGAAGCAACCACTGCTTTGCAAGCAAGGAATGGAGAATCCAAGGAGCACGTGACTCAAGGCCTGTGGAGTGAAGGCAGGTCCAGATGGATCTACTAGTCTTTCGCTTGTATCGGGGGATGTGCACTGGACGAAAACTGGAATCCGGGCAAAGCTTGGGTCCCATTCTCCTGGGTTGCAAGGCGAGGTGGGCTTTGCTTGGCAGTCCACAGAACCAAAACTGCCCCGAGGCTTTGTTATGGACTCTTGTCTGAATGCAATGCACACCTGCAGCCTTGCTAAACAGTGCCTTTTGGGACACTTGCTCCCTTTCTGTCCTTCGGGGCTTCCGAATTGCGCAAAGGAGTCTGCCCTTCGTCTTGCTACTATTTTCCCCTCAGTCCTTCCCACCTGTTCACAGATGAGCCTAAATGCAGTCTTTCCTTATCAGTTCCTTTGTAGATCATCTACTCCACTTTGGTGCTCCCATGAATCTACTGGGAAATTGAAAAGACCAGGTTACAAGTATCCTACAGCTGAATCTGCGCTATTGCACACTTATGAAAGAACAGGGGATTTTTTTTAAAAAAGTGTGACCTTATTTGCACAAAGTTTAAGCTCTACCACCATGACGAAACAAAACAATTTAACCAGCTTGCACAAATTACTCTTTGTGCAAGTGGTGAGACCTGAAAAAAGTTTCCCCAAACATTCCTGAATTGGGGAAAACAAAACCCACTGTGGTTGGTTGCTTCTTATTAGAATGGAAATGCTAATCAGATGGAATGGAATTCCCAGTATTGCAATCTCAAGTCTGGGTTACACAGACCAATTTGTCTGTCTCACTTTCTTATATATTACAAGCATTTGCTGTATTTTATATCGGAGTAATGAATGAATGCTTAGCAGCAAAGCTGAACTGAAAACAAACCCTGCAAAGGCTTTTCAACAGTTGATGACTAAGGAAAAACACCCTGAGTGTGTTTATGTGGTCGTTGTCGCTAGTGCATGTGCAAGTGTGCAGTTACATTTACTGCACAATGCCGTATCTCTGTTACGCGTGTTGCTCTTCTTCCCTTCTCCAGTTAATCCAGTTTTTGACCCAGCGGAAGATCCGGAGAAGAACGAAGATGCACCAGCCGTGATGGGCACATGTCAGTTCAGATCGCCCTCCTCTTTGTGAACTTAAACATTCCTCTTGCACCGAGCGTAGCCTCATCTCTGGCTACACTTGGATCCAAGCCGCATGCGCTGCATTGCCGGGAGGGTGGGCTTGGACAATTTGGGTCTGCAGGCTCGTCCTCTTCCTCCTCTTCCTCGGTTCTAAAACTCGGAGCCACCAGTGACCTAAGGCCATGTTTCTGAGGCTGTACCTCCGCGATCAGCTTTCCCCAGCACTGCTCAGGCTGTCTAGGAATGGTGGGACTCGCATTCCACATCTGGACGGCAGCAGGCGAAGGAAGGCTGGGATAAAGCGCCATATGGAGAATGGGAGTTGCATACCAATTTTGCTGTCACTGATTTCTCAAAGAATACAGAGAGCTGTAGTTCAGGAGAGGATCAGGGAGAACTTCCTGGTCCTTTCCCAGAACTCCAGTTCCCAATAGCTATTAAACCATTCTTAAGGCTGTAAGGTAGAAGTACCCTGGTAGGAAGTCATATAAAACATGAATGCAATAGTTGCTGTTTTGGGTAAACATTGGGAGTAGAAGGGCAGATCTTCCTGTCTGGGCTCCCAATCTGACCATCCTGGGCTCCCAGTCCATCCCTCTGAGGTTTTCACACAGATGGACAGTCCCCCTTTCCTGCCTCTGTGCAGTCTCCTGTCCCCGCAATTCTGGAAGGTCAAGAAGCTGTTCCCAGGCTTTCGTTACCGGTAGCAATAACGTTAATCTAAAATGTGTAGCTATTTTTGGATTTTGGCCCTGGCCTTGTTGCCGTGCTGACTGGGAATGACGGGGGCTGCCATCCAACACATCTGGGGCATGAGGCTGCACATCTGGGACTTCATCCATCACATGGGACCTTCCTGCTTCTTGGACGCTTCCTTCCGCAGCACAGTCTTGCCTTGTTTGTGTCTTTCCAGTGGATCCCAGTGCTCTGGTAGCAGAACAACAAGCAAGCACCATCTTCCAGATGGATCAGGGCAAGAAAAGTATTGACATCTACTGGCTGTTTGATGATGGGGGTAAGGCTGGGTTGCACCTCCTGGGAAGGTCTCAGCAAGGGAGGACTGTGTGTCCCCAGGTGGGTTCTCCTGCTCTGGGGCTTCACTCAGACCCATTGCCACCTCTGCTCCACGGGTGCTGGAAGCGATTGTGGAGGATGTGGAGGTGCTGGTGGCCACACTGAGGATCTGTTGGATGGGTCTGTTGAATGTGCAGCTTCCCCAGATGGGAGGCCTTCCTGGTGGCCATCTTGAAGGGTTGTCCATCTCCCCATCCACTCCAGATCCAGTGTTCCACTGGATTTACGTCCAGACTTGCTACAGCCTGCCATGGGGTCCTGAGGAGATCTCCTTTGGTTCTGACACGAAGCTGATGGGGACTGGCCCACTCAAATCAGGATTTTGTTGATCATATCATCAACCTTGGTTTGGAATACCTAAGGGCCAGCCTAGAATTCTTCATAAGGGACTTTGCAGGATAGGAAGACCTTCAGTGACCATTAAACGGTGGGAGGAGGATGGACTTGACAGAGCTCCTTGCAAAGGGAGTTCCACAGCTCTGGAGTCACCACCAAGAAGACCTACCAAACGGGTATTTGCAAATATTGGGAACCAGGGAGTGGATTGTCCATGGCCAGTCTTGTGGTTCACACAATTTCATATGGGTGCAAACAGCTGCTGGGCCTAAGCCGTGCAGGATGGTGGTATGGGGCAGATGGAGATGCCCCCTAGATGGGTCCCACAAAGCAATTTTGTGTGGCATGAAGTTGGGCGTGATCATGCTTCATCGGGACGTCACCAGAGCATTGGCTCCTCTTCCAAGCATGAGGAAAGCCTTGCTGGCCCTGGTCTTCCACCCCAATTCCCGTTGCAAACAAATGGTAATCCCAAAATAGGAAGCGTTGGTCCCAGGAGCTGGTCCGAGACACAAGGCGCTGCAGCTCCGTGGATGCTGGGCTGGGCTGGGCTGGGCTTGGGCAGGGCTCGTATGCGAGGCCCCGGGAGCGTTTCCACCTGCCCACAGGACCTGGCGTCCACCACGGGAGGCTCTTGTAGCCACTGGTCCCACTTCCATCATGGCCGCCCGCGTTCTGTGGAAGAACCACTCTGCACTTTCCCGCCTGGCAGGCCTGACGCTCCTCCTCCCATACCTCCTGCACCGCAAGAAGAGGTGGGCGAAATGCACGATCCGGGTGTTTGTCGGCGGGCAGATCAGCAGGATGGACGACGAGCGGAAGGCGTAAGTCTGGAAATGGTGTCAGAATGGCTGGAGCGCTTGAGTAATTCAGCGCCCCCAGTTGGCTCGATCCATAATCTACGCTTGCAGGGGGTGGCCAAAGTCGCCCTGGGTGGCCTCCCATACTCACATTTCCACAGACGCTCGGGTTTTGCGCACAACATGCAGATTCCAGGCTGCCGCCATCCCACACAGACTTGCAAGCGAGCCCACCCCACAGCCTTTTGTATGGGTCAGGAAGAATCACATGACCTCCCCTGGCCTATTAGCATAAGGAGGCTTCTTTGGAGGGGGTGGTGCTGGGAGTTGGAGTTCAACATGCCTGGAGGGTGCCCAATTGAAGAAAGGTGGTCTCCAGTTCTAACTTTCCTCCACAGAGAGGCAGTGTGGTGTAGTGGTTATGGGTCTGGGACTGGGACTCGGGTGATCAGGGTTCTGGTCCCTGCTCTTCCATGGGGTTCTCCAGGTGACTTTGGGCCAGTCACAGCCTCTCAGTCCAACCTACCTCGCAGGGTCGTTGTTGTGGGGACAAGACTGAGCGCAGGAGGAGGGAGATGATGTAAGCAGCTTTGAGTTCATTCCAATAAAAAAGAGATATAAATCTAATAAATGAAGACACCTTTTGGTTTTCCCCATGCAGGAGGCAAGGAGGTGATGTTGACCAGGGTCCCAGCTCTTGGACTTTGGCCCTTCTCTGCTCTGCCGTGGCCACCCTTAAATTCCCTCCCACACACACAGCGTTGCCCTTAGGCTAAGCTTAGAAGGGGTAGGAAACTGCGACATCCTGGGTTATCTGCCACACCGGCAGGCCAAGCCTAAAATATGACCAAACCGCCCCCAGGGGAGAGGGATGGCCCTTTCATTACTGACCGGTTATAATCTCCCCGCACTGTGTGTGGGGGACCAACACGGAAGCAGCGCATGCATTCCTCGTGCTTTGGAAATCCGGCTCTCCCTCCCTTTCCCACGCTGTAGGATCATCTCCCTGCTAAGCAAGTTCCGGCTTGGGTTCCACGAAGTCCACGTCCTTCCAGACCTTAACCAGAAACCTCGCCCAGAACAGTAAGTCGTTTCTGCGGCAGCGATTTGTCCTCTAGAATGGGCTTAGCCATCACTGCCCACCCATTTCAAGTGATTTAAGCCAGCCCTCCCAAAACTGGTGTCTGCCAGGTAAGCTGGACTACAGACCCAAAATCCCCTGGTGGCTTGAGCAATGATGGGAGCGATGGAAGTTGTAGTCCAAGAAATCTGGGCAGGACCAGGTTGGGAAAGGCTCACTGAGGGCTTTAAGAGACCTGGGGCCCCAAGCAGGGGTGGTAAACCTCAGGTCCTGGGGTCAGTCCTCACCCCATCTATCCCCTCCGGAGTTCCCAGAGGGCCATCTCTCTCTCCTAGGCCCTGGCCTCTTCCCCCAACTGCTGACTGTCCCGACCTTGCACGGTTTCCCCCCTGATGCTAAATGCCCCTCCCTGAGATTTAGTAGCAAGGGCCCGGAGCTATAGCAGGCGGGCATTTTTGGCCTCCCCCTGTCCCCTGCCTCCACTGGACTGCAGCCCCGAAAGGCCTGCAAAATGGACTTTGGCCCTTCGGCGGAATAGTCCAACTCTCTTGCTACAAGGGGAGCAGAACTTCCAACTATTCGGCAGCCGGTGCAGGTGCTTGCCAGGTCAGAGCAATGCAGACCCGCTCCAAACGTCAGACTGGCCGAGGCGCCACACAAACGGGGGCCAGTCCTCCAAGCGCGTCGGGGGCTCAGGGCTTCACGGCAAATGCAGGAAAAGAGAAACCCGCAGCAGGCTCTTTATGCCCAAGCGATGGTTTGCTTGCTCATGGGGACGCCTTCGTTTCGTCCGCAGCGTGAAGAGATTCGATGACCTGATCGCCCCTTTCAGGCTGAACGATGGCTTCAAAGACGAGGCGGCAGTGAACGAGATGAGGCACGGCTGTCCGTGGAAGATTTCTGACGAGGAGGTTGCCAAAAACAAGGCCAAGGTTTGAGCCCGTTGATGGGACTTTGAGCACTTAGAGGGACCAGGCCGCATCCCTCTAAGGCTGGGTGGACAGCGCCTCGTCCGTGGCTGCATGCAGTCCCCACGGCCGTGCTGCCACCGTGCTGCTGAATTTGCCAGCAGTGGCGGCAAAAAGAGGGCAGCTGATTTGTCGGCCAGGTAATTTTGGCCATGAGGGGATTCTGTTGTGGTTGGCTGCCAAAAATGGGGGAAATTGATGGGTCCTTTCATCCTTTGGAGGGCAGCTTGCAGGGAGGTCCAAGGGGCTGGGGATGCCCCTGAAATGATGTGGATTTTCCCCCCCTTGCTTTAAGACAAACCTGCAAAGTTGTGTCCTTGGGCCATAGGAAGCCCCCCAGGCCTGGGTCAGTGGCCTCCCGGAAGCAGTGGTTGACGTTTCATGCCTAGTTTCTGTGATGTTTGCCCAGGAAATGAGGTTCCTGATCTATGGCAGAAATGGCAGACCCTTTTCTTAGCATGAGTCCTGGTGATGGAAGCTCCCTACTACAGGGCCAGTAGGAGGATGTTGTCTCAGCAAGAAGCTAAGGCCAGTGGTAGCTTTGATGGCAGGATCTGTAGCGTGGTCAACTCTGCCCCACTTGGAGATGATTAAAGAACTCCTACCTGACTTTGTAGTTGGCAACTTCCATCCGGGAAGGATCTGAGTAAACTCCTGCTAATGATGATAAATTTTATTTCTGTACTGCCAAATAGCTGGAGCTTTCTGGGATGTTTTCAACAGCAGAGAAATAGCATTGAAACACAATATAAAATGCAGGTAACAATAGAAAATTAGAATCCAGAATTTAAAAGCCGAAATTCAAAAAGCTACAGTAGCTTACACAAATAAAACTGCGGCCTCAGCCCTATGTCTTACTACAGTTAGAGGCTTTTGCTCACGAGAAAGTCCAAGGGACAGGGCGCTTCTGGAATTGTTCTCTCATATGAGATTTCAACATAGTTTGTGGGTTGCATGAGAAATAAGTATTAGTGCTAGTCTTCATAGATGTATGGAGCTTCACGATTCAGGGGCAGTCTATCTTTCTGTATACCATTTGCTGGGGTGCAACAGGACGCTTTCCAGAGGGACCTGGTTGACCATGGTGGGAAACAGGATGGCTTGACTGGATTGGACCTCTCTTTGGCCGCCCTGACCAATATCATGGTGTGAAGCATTGCTGTTTTCTGTCCTTTAGTCACTTCGGCAAGTGAGGTTGAATGAAATTTTGCTGGATTGCTCAAGAGATGCAGCCCTCATCTTCGTGTAAGTAAGAGGCAGCAAAACGCAACCAACCAGACTCTGATGTGGGCTCATCATGAAAAAACCTGTGAAGTTTTGCTTCTTTCAGGGCAACCCACTTGGAAATAGCAACCCTGCCCAACTTGTGACTCAGTCACTTCAAGCCACTGCCATGCATGCCGTCCTTATTTATTTGAGTTGTGTCCCACCCCTTTAGCCAAGATGGCTCTCTTAGATCTTACAGGGTTCCTGACAACTGAGGTCCCAGGCAATCGTTAAGATCAGGTCTGACCAAGTTGCTAGTCAGTAGCGTGGAATCTCACACCTGGGGTCCCAACCCAGTCTTCTGGGGTTCCTTAAAAAGCCACCATCTCTGGTTGGGTCATTTCCCACCTATGGTGCAGTTTTCCTCCATTCTAGGAAGATTAAATATCTCTCCGAAGACTTAGCTACCTGCAGTAAAAACCAGAAGCTAAAATATGCTAGCATCCTGAAGTTTTGACCTTGCCCCTTTTACCTTCAGCCGTGCCCACCCTTGGAATGAATTCTGAAATTGCATTCCGCCCTCAGAGTGAAAGAAGGGAGAGTTTTAGATGTATCTCTTGATGGATCGATTTATCCAAACATTTCTTGACTTGCAGTCAACAGCTCTGTTCTACTGTGCAGGGCATTTTAATATATTTATTACTTTACACGATCTAGCCCCCGTTTTTGTGTTGCATTTTTTTATTATTATTATTATTATTATTATAACATTTCTATGCCGCCCCTTGCCGAAACCTCGGGGCGGCTTACAACACAATAAAATACATTGAAATACAATAGAACATAATAAATTACCATTAAATACAAAAATACAAAAAATACACTGAGTTACAAATATAAAATTAAAATTATCAGTATAAAATAAGTAAATAAAAATATAGGAGGAGAAAAGAGAAGAAAGAAGAAGTTGCCCTGGTCAGATCATATGTTTTAACAATTAAAATGATGTTTAAATAAAAAGGTCTTTACCTGGCGCCGAAAAACCAGTAACGACGCATGTCTTAAAATAAAACCACTTCAAGATCTTAGGATATCAAGCAGCATACAGGTTTTTATGTAACGTGTCTTGAGATTTTTAAAATGAATGATGGTATATGATTTTTTTTGTTTTATTTTTGGTAAGCTGTCCAGAGACTCTGGAATTGGACAGCATATAAAAACTGTAAATAAACAAACAAACAAATAATTTTTTTTGCAAACAAACATTTTAAATAAATAAATAATAAATACTATTTAGATAGATAAAAATATAAGCAGTTTGCAAAGGGAATTAAAGCACTCCTCGTCCTCGCATGTTGCTCTCCAAGGCTTGGAGGTGGCAGGGCTGGGTTTAGAGGGACAGTGAGCTGAGCGTGTTATTTCACAAGATAATATTGAGAGACCAGTTAGAGACAAGATATTATTGTCGTGTGTCCCCACCCAAGGGCTCAGTTTCCCTGGATAAAAGAGCACAGGAGCCTTGTGATGCCTTTGTGATGTTTGCGTTATTTACAAGTTGGAGCAGAGTAAAGGCAAATGCTTTCCTGCTTGGGTCAGATTCCTAGACTGCCATTCCTGCACCCTTCCTAAGCGGCTGCTTCGTGGCGCTCCTTGACCTGGTCTGCATGCAATGACAACCCACTGGTTGTTTAAGCCATGGATTGCTGCAGCAGTGAGCAAAGGCTGCCGCCGGCCGTGCACTTGGCTTGCAACTTGTTATCTTTGCATCTGGGCTGTTTATGGGCGAGTCCTGAACTGGATCAGGCCCTTCTAGAAGCTGCAAAGGTTTTAGATCACACCGCTTTCCCCAACATGCTGCCTTCCAAAAGTTTTGGACTAAACTTCCAGGATTCCTGGCAATTCCTGACTTTGGGCCAGTCATAGACTCTCAGCCCAACCTACCTCACAAGGTTGTTGTTGTGGGGATAAGATGGAGGAGGAGAATGATGTGAGCTGCCTTGAGCCCTTTGTAGGAAAAAGGCAGGATATAAATTGCAATATAAAATAAATAAATAAATAAATAAATAAATAAGCAAGCTATGCTGGCTAGGAATTGAAGGTCAAAATATCTTGGGGCATCAGGTTGCTAACCTGCAGGGGTGAACTGCAGTTAGGTACACAAACATATCGTGTCTGCATCCCCTGTTTTTGAAAATACAACCTCCAGGTTTTGTCTGCAACCTTCATGGAAAGACATTGGGGAACCAAAGTCAAGAGAAACAAAGCAATTTTTGGATTAGCAAAGCTGGAAATTAATTGTGGAGAATGCACTTTATAAAAAGTCAATAGAAACCAAAATTGATGGTGCTTCCCGGAGGATGGAGGCAAAGAAACATTTGGAGAGTAAAGCTTCATCCACAGATGTAGCTACTCACAATTAATTTGGAATTATTTATCTTCATGATGGAATTGTAGGGCAGTGTACAAACCATATTAATCGCCAATTAACCTTTAAAAAAACACAAAAACTTCCACATAGAAAATCTACCAATCTTCCTTTCTGAATGACTGTGGACTAAGTCTAGCCAATTGTGTATCTTGGAGTTATATGCAAAGGTTTTTTCTTGCTTTCCTATAAACATGGGCCTAATTCAGATTGAGGCAATGGCACTTTGGGAAATGGCTTTTAAACCAGCACCCCATTTCCCCCCTGAAATTCTATGCATGCACACTTTCTGAACCCCCCCCCCCCGTTTTCTCTCCACTGAAATTCCATGCACACCCCTGGGGCGGAGTTTAAAGATGGAGAAGAGCATCCATGAATCCACTAAGATTTATTTCTCTTTTTTTACTCCCCTCCTCCAATCTGCATGGGGGACGTTGAGTAGGTAGGGGGGGCTTGTTAACCCCCTGCTCCCGGAGCACCTGGGCCTGCTCAGAATTTGACCTGCGTATCTGTCTAGGAGCATAAGAAATACGATTGCACAGAAAACTGTTCTACTAAGCATGATTAGCTGGATGCTTCATTTGCCCCCAGATCAAATTTTCCCAAGACTGTGAAGTTTTAGAAAACTTAGTTGTCTAGTGGGGATTCAGCAGATCTTCCTTTGTGTGCAAATGAACTCCTTGCCGCTCCACTAGTTTTCTCTCTCCAGCCCCAGAACTAAGCTCTCCTTTTACGAACAAGAAAAACAGCCTGCTCTTTCCTTGCTTTTCTTCCAGGACCATGCCGATCGGCAGAAAAGGCCGATGTCCCAGCAGCCTCTACATGGCCTGGCTGGAGACCCTCTCCCAAGATCTGAGACCGCCTGTCATCCTGACCAGAGGCAACCAGGAAAATGTCTTGACATTTTACTGCCAATAATTCCTGGGATGTTGGACCGCTGGGACAAGAGAAGAGATTCAGGACTGCTATCGGGAGAGCTGAGCAGTCTGGAAGGTCCATTTCCGTGGGTGGAAGCGGCCAATAAAGGACTGGTGGTGGGAAATGAGCACTCTTGGCCCTGTCGACCCCATTCTCTACGGCAGTCCAGGTCACACATCTATCAGAGTCTGGCTCCGCTTAGCTCAGCGATGTCTGAACTGCCGGTGGTTGGCTTGCTGGGGTTTAGGGTGGAATCGGACCTTTCCCAGCTTCACTGAGGAATAAATGCTGAGGAATAAACATGGGACTGTCTTCCATACTGAAAACACGACCCCGGGGTCTCTAGCATCGTGCTTGGACACGGACCCCTCTCCTGTCACTCACTGGGTTCCCCACCCCTTTTGATTTTTATTTTGTCTTGTACGGCTCTGCGAAACAGAGATGCGAGTATCAACAGGGGCGCTGGCATGCCGCAAGGTGGCACAATTCTAGCTCTGCCCCCACCAGGGCCTCAGGCCGGGGGTTCCTGGGCACGCGGTTCTCCCTTAGTCCCACCAGGTTGCCTTTGGGGCTGGGGTTTGCCAAAGCCCCCTGGCCAGGGCAGCATTTTCTGAGTGTGTCCAGTTCCAAATATGCCCCCTGAACCAGGGAGGCGGGAGACCCAGGCAGACACAGGTGGGGGAGGCTTAGCAAGGGGCTTCCCACCAGTGGCGTTGCCGCACAAGGCATTTCTCATGCACGGTGGCTCCTTTTTCTCTCTTGTTCATGGGCTTTTTAGACGAAGCTGCATCCTTCGGTTTCACTTCTGGGTTTCTTTCCCCCACCCCCAACGGCACCTTCCTGCTTTTGTTTTTGCTTTTAATAGACCCTGGGAAACTGAGCCAGTAAATTCCAGGCCTCTCTCCTCTCATTTTTTCACTGTTGTGTGGGGGCTGCGCCAGAGGCCCTGCGCCTGCAAGCGGGGAGCACGGGGCTGTTTGCGCAGAAGGCAGGCTCCATGCTCCAGCGGCACGGGACGTGGAGCAGATACAGCAAAGGCCATTTGCAAAAAGGGCCCAGCTCAGTGGTGCCTGCACGGACTGGCAGCAGCTCTCCGGGGTTTCGGGTGAGGCTCTTCTCCAGCCTCACCCTGGGATGCTGCGGGTGGAAAATAAGCTGTCGTGGAGCTGAACCAGGGCCTCCAAAGTCCTTCCAGGCACGTCCCTGGACATGCTGCTGCAGCTAGTTGTGTCTTGCGCTAGCGCCTCACTAGCAAAATCGTCTGGGATAGAAAGAGGAAGTCTGCATCCATCACACATAGTACAATTTAACCGAGGAGGAGGAGGAGGGCTCGATTCAAGGCCTGGGATGGGAGGATTGGCCAAGTGGGGCCACGAACAGAGGGGCACCGTTGCCTGAGTCCCCAGCAGGGTAGAAAAGGCAGGTAATTGCCAAGGCGAGCGACCATCGCCGTTATGCCCATGGTGCTCCCTGATTTTGCAGAACATTTTGAGGCTTAGGGGATAGGGGTTCAGTCCACCACACCCTATTCCTATGCCTCAAGCCTGAATCATGAAAGAGTCATGACTAACCAAGTGGAAGCTCTGGATGCAGTACCAAAAGTGACCTAGAAGGAAGCACATACAATTCCTGAGGTTGTCAAGAGAGCATTAAATAATCTCAGCTGTCAAAACTCTAATTCCTGTTAAAAGTTTCTCCCTCCCTCCCTCTCTCCCTCCCTTTCCAGACCTGTTCAGGGATTTTGACAGGGATAAATGTTGGCACAAAGGTATATCTTCCTCTCAGAAACAGTTGCTAGCACTGTCCAATAAATAAATTAAAAGTACCAAGCGTTCTGACCGCTGTCAAAGCTCCGTGCTGCCATAAAAGGAATCACTCCACTTTTCCACACACCTAGAACCTCCAGAAACAGTGGGAAACTATGTGGTCAAACACAGACAGACAAACAAGCAGAAATCCTCTAGAGCGGGGTCCTCAATCTATGGACCATGGGCCAGATACGGTCCACCAAGGTCATTTACCCGGCCCACCTCAGAGCTTTCGGACTCGTTCAGAGAAAACAATCCCAAAGCTCTGAGCCTGCACAGGCGTACTCTGAAACTCTTTCAGTTTCGGAGACTAGCAGAGAGCTGGCGCACTCGCCAAATTGTGACAGCTCCTTTCACCTGCGTGTGCACCGGCTCTCTCTGCTAGCTCTGGCCAGCTCCTGCTGCTGTGCTGGTCTTGCCAGCGTGAATTGCGCATGCGCCGGCTCTTCCCCCTCTTGCACGCATGCGTTGGCTCTGAATACAGAAGAGAGGAGGGCGGTGGGAAGAGAGAGAGAGAGACACTAAAAAAAGATAGAAGGTAAGAAAAATATTTTAAGCTATATAATACTTTGATTAATGCATATTTCTGTGTCAGGTTTATTTTATTTCCTAAACATAACGAACCGTGGCATTTCCGCATAAGGAGCAGAGTGCAGCCCCTCACAGGTCACTGACGATCATTCTCCATCACGTGTGATCGCGTCGGCCGAGAGGGCAGGTGTGTGTGGAGGTTCCCTGTGTTCTGCCATCACCGTCTGAGCTCTGGCAGCCCTGAGATGTGTCCAACCGGGCAGGGACAGGAACCACACGGCAGTGGAGAGGAGGTTGAGGGGCACAACTTCTGAAGCTGCAAAAAAATATACTTTTTTAATCAAAAGAACAACACAGGTTTTTTGAAAAAGAGAAGCTCACTGAATTTCTCTGCCATCTTCTGCCATCTCCCCACAACTCAAAACCTGTTGGCGGAAAAACCAGCAGTTGCATTCCCAAACAAAACATGTTGCTGGAAATGTTGCAAAAGGCGCTTCAGATTAGATTTAAAGAGCTTCATCTCCATGAACACATGAACACAGCTTTTCCGGACCCATTTTCTGTTGACATTGAAATTGTTGATCCGATTTCCCAAATGGAACTGGCCAAAGTACAGAATTGTGACTCTCTGAAAGACGCATTCAAGTCAAGCAGCCTTTCCCATTTCTATGCTCCTCTCCCCTCGGAGACATACCTTACTCTCAGGAACCACGCACTCAAAATGGCAACTGTCTTTGGCAGCACCTGTGCCGTGAACAGACTTTTCCCCGAACGACACATCTGGAATCTCCAGCCAGATCCAGACTAACTGATGCACCTGCATCACTTGTGACGACTGGCAGTGGCAAATATGGAGCCGGACATCGACCACCTCATTGGCCAAGAGCAGGCCCATCCTTCCCATTGAAATACGAATACGTTTATGTTGATTAGAATCGTTCTTCATTTTAAATATTGTATTGTTTTTCCTGGTTTTTTTCCACTACAAATAAGGAATACATTCATATTTTTTTCAAACTATATTCCGCACCCCCCCAACAGTCTGAGGGACAGTGAACTGCCCCCCTGTTTAAAAAGTGTGAGGACCCTGCTCTAGAGGAGCTTGCTGTGAGGGGATGGCTCTCGTGGCCGCCCTTTTTCACAACAATCACTTGCAGTTTGATTTCTCTTGAAGGCCCAGCTTCTGTCGTTCATCAAGGGAAAGCGAAGTGATGGGTGCACTCTGGCGGTGGTGGGTACCTGCTGGCCAAGTGAGGCTGGCCATTTTGTGCCCGCAGATGCACTTGCCCAAGCCGGACTGAGAGGTTGATGGTCATAGAATCCTAGACTCCTAGAAAAGAAGAGTTGGAAGGGGCCATGCAGGCCATTGGCACCAACCGCTGCTGTTGCAGGACACCACTCAGAGGGCTGCCCAGTTCCTTTCTGAATGTCTCCAGTGTGGGAGAGCCCCCCACCTCGCCAGGCAGCTGGTCCCTCTGTCGTGTTGCGCTGACAGTGAGGAAGCTTTTCCCAATGTCCAGCCTGGATCTGGGAAGTTGCAGTTTGAAATGATTATTCCGTGCCCTGCACTCTGGCATCAGCAAGAAGAGATCCTGACCTCCCTCTTTGTGGCAGCCTTTGAGGGACTTCTAGAGGGGTATCATGTCCCCCCTCAGTCTTCCCTTCTTAAGGCTGAACATGCCCAGTTCCCTCAGTCTCTCCTCACAGAGCAGTGTCTCCAAACCCTGGGTCATTTCTGTTGCCCTCTGCTGGAGCCTTTCCAATTTACCTGTATCTTCTTTAAATCTCGGTGCCCAGAACTGGACACAGGATTCTAGGGTGCGGTCTGCCTAGTGAGAAGTATAAGGGAACTGCTACTTCTCATGATTTAGAAGTAATACTTCTGTCAGTGCATCTCAAAATAGTGTTTGTCCTTTTGGTGGTTGCATCGCATTGCTGGCTCATGTTTAGAAGATTGTCCACAATTACTCCAAGATCTTTTCCTTGTTCAGTTCTGTTGAGCCACGTATAAAATGTTCAAAATCATGATGCTAGAGAAAGGGGGTCACGAGCCAGTGAGAGCGCGCCCAGTGCGCCTGCTGGCCTTTTGGAGGGCTCCTCGCTAGCTGTTCGTGCAGGGATTGTGCAAAACAATCTCCAACAGAGGTGGGGGGCTTGCAGTTGTGGTGAGGAGAGCAACTGTGGCTGCGCAGCCACTGGGACCGCTTGGGGATGTGAGGGGGCATCCCATGGCAAGCCGTTGCAACCATTTGCTGAGGGTACCGTGAGTGGCTTCACAGGCAGCCTTCCCTGCATGGCCACGCACAGCCCTTGTGATGACCCGGGAGAGGAAAAGGTTCTTGTGTCGAGAACAAGTCTGGCGTAGTGGTGAAGAGCACGGGACTGGGACTCAGAGGATCCGGGTTCTAGTCCCCGCTCAGCCACGGAGCCAACTGGGTGACTCTGGGCCAGTCACAGACTCTCAGCCCAGCCTACCTCACAGGGTTGTTGTTGTGGGGATAAGATGGAGGGGGAGAGATGATGTAAGCTGCCTTGAGCCCTTTGTAGGAAAAAGGCAGGATATAAATCGCAATATAAATAAATAAATAAATAAATAAATAAAAACACTGGGGCTTTCCCACTTACTGGAGTCTTTGGCACTGAATCAAGCCGAAATCCCAC